CTCGGGGGCCCTGAGGTCCCGTCCTCCGCGACGGAACCCGCGGTCGCCACTCGCGCGCTCCTCCCGCCTGCGCCCCCGCTCCTCCCTCTTCCTCCGCCCAGCTGGGTCGGACTCGGTGTCAGTCACGCTGCTGGGGGAGAGTCGCCGGCGGCTTCCGGGAGCTCCAAATACAGACGAGTCTGAGGGGAGAGGGGGAGGAGAGCCGAGCTGCGCGGGTGGGAGTGGAAATAAAGGGGAGCGAGGGGAGGAGGTGCAGGAGAGGAGGGGCAGATGGGCCGTGGGAGCAGAGGGAGAGCGGGAGGCCGAGGCGAGGGCGGGCAGGCAGTGCACCGCGCCTGCGAGGATGCTGGCCGGGGGAGGAGGACAGGTGGGGTCCCTCAGAGGCCTGGGCAGAGAAACGGGCAGCAAGAGACAGGTCTGTGTGCACCCCAAGCCCCACACAAGGATGAGGGTTCTGGCAGAAGAGGCGGGGAGACGGCCAGTGCGTTAGCTGGCATCCTTACCCAATTCACTCACATCCTGCAAGGACATTACTTTTTAAAAAGTATTATAAATATATATAGTAACTTAAAAAACGCTGCCTAATTGTTTAAAGAAACTACAACCAAATCCAAACTACTTCTGAAAAACGTATGCTCGTGGCCATTTCCCCTTGGTGTATTGATTATAATTACAAAATTGGAAGCTTCCCCCTTTTTTAACATTGTTAGAAGCAAAGCATTGATTTTTCAGTTTTCATCAAACTTTTACTTCAATCCGAAAAAGTGGACTTGAAGCTCTTTCTTGAACGAGTGGCAGAAAAATAACTGCAGTGAGGAAAGGGGGGGGGGGGCAGTTGAAAGTTTAAAATAAACTCTTCAGACAACCAGCATGAAGAGCAATCTCAGAAAAGCCACTGTTCCCGGCTCATGTTAAAATTGCATCAAATTCAGTCCCGCGTGTAACGAGGCGTATTCTGTGCCTTAGGTCAGACTCAGATGAAGATCCTTCCCATCACACGTTGCTCTTGGCCAGCAGTGTGGATGTCCGGTGTCCTTGTGCTCCCTGTTTTCTGTGAAAAGGGAACCTAAATGGCAGAAGCCCTGGTCCACGGATGCGTGCACTGCCTGGAGCCAGAGCCAGCACCATCCTGATCCGGCACCTGCCTAGTGCATGGTAGGTGTTCTCTATGTTTATGCTGAGGGATGGACAGATGGATGGATGGATGGATGAGTGAAGAGTGTGTGTCTCTCTATAAATGCACACAACACTAAGACCCCATAGATATATGATACACACACACACACATATATATATGGTATATGGTATATATGGTATATATTCGATATAGATATATATGGTATATATGCTCTATATTCCATATAGATATATATGGTATATATGCTATATATTAGATGTATATTATATTCTATATCAAATATATACCATATATACTATATATAATACATATAATACACACACACACACATATATGGTATATGGTATATATGGTATATATTTGATATAGATATATATGGTATATATGCTATATATTATATGTATATTATATTTTATATTGAATATATACCATATATAATACATACAATATATATTATACACACACACACACATATATGTGTGTATATATATATAGTTTGCATGCGTGTGTGAGTCATATGAGGAGGTCTCACTCCACTGCTGTGTTGCCTACAGAAAGACTCAAGACTAGGTAACTTATAAAGAATAGAGGTTTAGGACCCAGTTAGGTGGTATGGTGATTAAGGTGGTTGGTTTCCCACATGGCTAACTGCAAATCAAGTCCTGGATACAGTGGCTTAAAAATCACACTGGTTGCATGTACTTTTGTACCCAAAATCCCAAAAGGAGAATGGAGGAGAAGGGATTGTGGCATGGCCATCCCCCCTGGGGGAGGATTTCTTACCTTCCCTCTCTTTGTATCACTCATTTCCAGTGAGGGCATGCACTCTATGGCAAAAAAAACTAATAAATAAATAAATAAATAAATAAATAAATAAATAAATAAATGTTTATTTGACTCATGGATCTGGTGGCTGGAAAATCCAAAGGTTTAAGGCTGGCATCAGGCCCTGTCAAAACATGGCCAACAGAGGCAGAGAGAATGGGGGCATGTCAGAGGGTGTGGTACATGTTCCATGTGGCTTTGTCTCTCATTCTCTCTCCTTACAGACCCACAGAAGTCAATCATGGGGCTATGCATTTACCCCCAATCACTAGTCTCTTCTTCAAGGCCCCACCTTTACAACACCATAGTAAGTTTAAGTTGTCACCTTTCTAATCCTGTTACAATGACTCGACTCATGACTTTTGGGGAGATATATTCAAACTATAGCAAGGGGTCTTCAACAAGTTTGTAGAAATATGGAACTAAAGTGCATGTTTATTTTAGTGCAAAAAAATTGAAATCATACATAATTTTTTCATACTATGCATTCTCCATGAATATTCTAAAATCTCTCTCTACGTATGTATATATAGTATTTATATAGAAACATATATGTACATGTGTACATGCATATACACATATACAAATATATGGCATCCAGGTTTCCGTGTACATATATGTATGGTATATGAGTATACAGATATATATGTATTTATATTCCAGAAATGCAGAAAATAATATATCCACAAAAAATAATCTCAGCAAGATCACAGGAAACTTCCAGACTTCCATTCTAATACGATTACACTTTAAAAAAATTATTTATTTTTATTTATTATTATTATTTTTTAAAATTTGACCAGAGAGAGACAAAAAGAAAGAGAAAGTGAGAAAGCAAGCCGCCAGGTCTGGGACTCAAGCTGCAGTTGGCCATGTAGGCGTTAAGCACCTTAATCACCATGCCACCTGCCAGCCCCATAGGACTACATTTTTGAACCATTAACAAATATTAATCAAGCCTTTCTTTTAACAGAATAAACTTTGTGTTGGCATATAAAGGTAAATAAGGCACAAATCCTGCTTTCCTATTTATACTATAATAGGAACCACAGTTCAAGGAAGCCTGTAAAAATGTCCTAAGAGAAGTATGAACAAAGGTCCATGGATGTGCACTAGGGAGGGAGGTTGCTTCCAGAACTGGGGATCAGAGAGCGTATCCTGGTGCCAGAGAATGTGTGTGTTCTCCAGAGAGGGACAGAGGGAGGGAAAGTGAGAAAGCACTCCCCATGGGGGATGGTCACACCTCAGTCCCTTCTCCATGTCTCCATCATGTCAGGATTTGGGGCATGCACATACACATGTCTGACATGTTTTTCAAGGAGGAGGATTGGAAACACACAGTCAGCCTCGTGGGATCCAGCATCCTTAACCACTAGGCCACAAGGTTGGCCTGAGAGTTGGGTTTCCACAAAGAAATGAGACACTAAGAGTGGATGGTGGAGGGAAGACATTCAAGATGAGAAAAACAGCAGGGCACACATGGAGATATGATGAAGGATGGTACTTGAGCTTAGTGAATGAACTATTGTGGAATTTGGCATGGAAGGAAAGTCGGGTCCCAACTGCTAAAGGCCTTCCATCTTAGCTCAAGATGCTGGAGTTTTAAGTGGTGGCACTGGGAGGTTGTTGACAGGGTTTGAGCAGAACCATGGTAGCTATGGTTATTTTGGTGGTGGCGTATTTGGTGGTGGACTGAAAAGAGATAGGAGGCAGGGAAATATGCTAAAAAATAATTCTGTTGTCTGGAAGAAAGGTCTTGAGGCTTAACTTGATGTCCAAATTCTTCCCCTATCTAGACTCATTGAGCACATAGTGTCCATCCGCTGTGTGGGTTAACCCCCTAGAGAACTCTTCCCCAACCCTCTGAGTATCCATATTTTCCAAGTAGACCCGTAAATTCCAAGAAAATGAGGAATTATGTCTATTTTGTTCACAACTATTTTTTCAGGAGCTGCCACATAAAGATCATTGTATATATACTTGTTGATACATTTTTCTTTTATGGGATTTTCTGAAGGTAATGAAATTAGAAAGAATACAGACACTGGACTTTTAAAACATTTTTTTAGCCATCCTTCAGATTCCAAGCCAAGCTTACCTTTCTCCTTAGCAGATGGCCTCATTATTCCTGTACAAGGAGGCTGATGTTAAATTTCTGCTCCTTCAACTTTTCTCCCTTTTACCATGAAACTACTCTTTTCTCTCTGTCCCTTATATATCTTTTTGATATTCCCTTCCTTGACAAAGGTAGGGATAATCTTATCTTATTTGTCTTTTCGCCCCGACTCTTGTCTCCTGAGCCTCTTTCCATTGAGTTTGTCCCCATGACTGCACTCCAATTTCAACTGCTCAGAGCTGTATCCAAGAACCAGTAACAGTAGACATATGTGGAGGAGGAGGAACCCATTGCTGAAATGTGCTTCTGTTCTTCTGACTTTATATCAGATAAAAGTTTTTAATGAAATATTTTCTGTGAAGGAATTTTGCAAGAGTCTTGACAGAGTAGATGACTCAGAACCTCAAAATCTGTGGCCTGTGAAGTTTTTTTTTTTTTTTTTTTTTACAAATATCATGTGGCATCCAGGTTTCCATGATTCCCTCCCAGAATCTGCTCCTGTGGTCTTGTCTTAGTTCATTTGTGTTGCTAAAACAAAATGCCTAAGACTGGGTAATGTATAAACAATAGAAATGTATTTCTCACAGTTCTGGAGGCTGGGAAGTCCATGATCCAACACTGGCAGATTTGGTGTGTGGTGAAAACTCACTGTCTGCTTCCAAGATGGTACCTATTGTTGCAAACTCACCTGGTGGAAAGTGGAAGAGCAAAATGGAACAAGCATTGTGTGCTCACATGGGGGAGAGATAAACAGGGACTAGGGCACTTCCTTTATCCTCTGTTAGAAGAACACTAATCCCATTAATGAAGGGGAGGATTAATGACTTAATAATCATTTCTCAAAATGCCCTACCCCTTTAAGACTATCACGTTGGGTTCCAACATGTGACTTTTGAAGGGACACGTACATTTAAGTAGAAGATCTCAAAGCACCTGCATATTAGTCCGGTATCATCTCAGTACCGGCTTGTTGAAGAGTTCTCCCTCAAGGAGTGCATTGGATGGGAAGAAATGAGCCCGAATAGACCCTCTGTTCTAAGAAGTACTCATGCTGGTTCAGAGGGAGAGAATGAGACCCTGGATTCCAGGTTATGCCCCAAGTGAAACTACGCTAAGGTCTCTGTGA